CTGCATAGCCTCAAACATAATTGGTGGAGCTCTTTAATTAATGTCTTTTCAATTTTTTTTTTTAAATTTTCTTTTTATTTAGTATTTACACACCCTGCCAACTACTTAACTCTTGTAAAAACCTGCCTTACACAGACTGGCCAGCCCACTTTCAGAGAAGTAGAACAGGTTGCAGACAGAAGCCTTTGGGAAGGCCTTTGAAAGCCTTACAAGAAGAACCCGTACCTAAGAAGGGAAGAAATGCTGTCCAATATATATATATTTTCCCTCCCCATCATATGCAAACTTCAGAAAAGAATCTGTAAATAGCTCAGGCTCATTAATGGCAAGAACACTTCCATGTAAGACCCACAGATAGGTGCTACCACACAGGCCTTTTTACACAGTGCTACTTGTGTCACTAGGTCACTTCATGGAAAGGGTGCGCTCAGACTACCAAAAACAAACTATCAGAGGCTTTTGTTTGTTCTTGCATTTTTAAGTGATAGGTGCAACTCAACAACACTGTGATAGCAGATTCATGCCAGGCAGTGACTGAGGACTGAGGGACTGTCACTAATGCAACAAAAAGCTAACTTGGACCAACTTTAATGATTATTTTGCTGTGCATTTGGCAAAACTGAACACTTCACTGTCCATTCACAGCTTTCTGTTCCTCACTGTGTGGGGGGAAACCTCATTCTGAACTCTGAGCACGAGGCTGGACCAGATGACTCCAGAGGCCCTTGCTCCTCTGTCCCACAAGATCTGGACTCGCAACTGGTGAAAGCTGGATGGAAGTGATAGAAAATACCACTCAAGTTATAAACAACTAATATCAGCAAGTTTTACAAAATATAATCGGATAAGATCAGAAATCCTTTACATGCTATGGTCCTGCAAGTGGCCAGCTGTTCTGCAGGTCACTTTTTCCTCTCTCAGAACAGGTGGAGTTGCTTGTTGCTGGAATCGTTGCATCAGACCAGGTCAATTGCTCTCTACAGCAAGTCAACACATTGGAATTTGTTTCTTCTTTGTAGCTGAGCAAGCAAATATGGTGTGCATTAACGACAGACAGCTTTTCTCCTATCCCTCCAGATCAACTTTATGGCAGTGACAGGAACAAGTCATTGGCCCTTAGGCTGTCCTGCCAAGCATTCAAAACAACACACTGGATATAGTCAGAATTACTTAAGAAATTTGTAAGATGAGCGTTTGTCCTGACAGAAGCAGTTCAGTTCAGAGAATCTAACAAACTCTAACGGACCAAACAAAATGAAAGTCCTGAATTATATCAGTTTTTCCAATAAGACACTATGAAATACTGATATATTAAAATCAGCACAAAAATCATATGAGGAACATTGAAAAGATATGTTAAAAGCAGTAAATCAGCAGATTAGCAAAGAAACATAGGAGGAAGATTGGGAAAAAAAAAGGTAAAGCTAAATTTCAGAGATATCATAGTTGTCAAATACAAGATCATACAGTGCAGTCCAGTTTTATTGATGGATAATGAATATCCCTCTGTAGGTCTCCGGACCCATTTTATTGCCAAGAAAATTTCTTCCTCAAGGGTCTTGGACTGGGCTTCCCAAGTTCCCTCTACATTCAGAATTTGGGTTATGTGTTTAGGAACTAAATACATACTTGAATAAATAAAAAACCTCGTATCAGCATGCAACAGATTTTACCAGTCTTATGCTGAGGTGATGAGAGCAGTTAATTACACAGTGCTCCTGAGGGCAAAGGGTAAGACTTCAATCTGTTAATCTACAGCTTTACTATGCAGACTATTTTTTTTTCCAGCATCCTAACCCAGTCTTCATGCAAAAAAAAAAACCCACAAGTAAAATTATTTTAAAACAATGAATTGACAGACACTTAAAGGCAGTGCTTTAGTCTTAACAAATATGAGCTCTTAAAAAGGGTCTGTCCAAAATTGTTTCCTATAGAGAAAATTAACTCTTTAATGTCTCTTCTTTTATTTCTCTCTTTTTTTTTTTTTTTTTTTTTTTTGATGGGGATAATTCTCATTGGACAATAGATCAATTCATTGGCTTGAAAAAAAAATTAACAAGATTGAGATGCACATCTGCAGCATAAAACAAACTAGAAATTGTGGCCAGGAACCCTTGGCAGTAAAACTGCTGAGACTATTAATTATAACTTTTGTTTTTATTGGAAGAAGCTGCTAAGAAGTTAAAATATATGGTGCATTTTGATATCATGGACAGTAAAAGGAATGATGCCAACTTCAACTCAGTCCAGCCTAAAATTACATTTCAGAAGAAAGAAAAGCAACTGCTTACAGATAATTCAAGGACTGTATTTAGTTTAAAATTGATCATTGAATAATTCACTAGTATTACAAATTTAGGCAGTCCAAACTGTAAAGTTAATACTAGTTTCCATCAGTTCAAGTTCTAATTTGTTTCAAGGTTAAACCACTTTTATATTTTCAGCCAAAAGCATCAAAACCCAGTGGCTTTAATATGACAATTTTTACTTCTGTATACTTTTTAAGAAGTACCAGAGACTGGAGAAGACAGTTACTGTCACTTGTACTTAATAAGTACCCATTTTTTTGTACATCTCAATGATTCCCACCCATCATTAGCAGAGATACCTATGCTAAGTCTGCTGTACTAGAGCAAGGTTGCAAACACAAACTTGCATTATTCATGACACTTCTAGTGCCTTGAGTTACCTTCAGCAAGAAGTGCACATGTGCACTATTATACAAACTGACTAGTGGATAAATGCCAGCCAAAGTAAGAAAAACTGTGCGTGAGTTGGAAGAGTGGGAGGGAAATGGAAAAGAAGGTGAGATCTCAATTGAAGGCAAAGAAACCATCCTGTCAGCTGTGAGCATCCACTGCTAACTGCTTATAGATATTTTTTCCCCCAGAGACAGTTTGTTTTAGTCAGTGGCATCCTTAGAATATTTCTTTCATTATCCAAATGTATCTTTTAGACCATTTTTATCATGGCTCTTATTAGAGTTGGTAAAAACATACATATGATTTCCATTCTCTGGTCCCTAAAATGTCATTTTTTACCTCAGCAAAAATATGACAAGCAAGCTTTTGCTTCTGTAATTTAGTTCAGCCTTCAGTTATTTTTGAAGTTGAAAACATAGGAAAAAAAACAACACATACTAAAAACACACAAAAGACCCATCCATCTTTCCATACTTGACTTTTGAAATGTGAATTGTCAGTTCAAAATTCAACCTGTGCAGTTTACTCCATTTTCTGTGAGCCGAGGGGTCACAAGCAAGTTTAACAGATTCAAAGATACAGAACAGATATCAGTTGTTGTACAGTGTCTTGCTTATGCTATGAAAAGGTGTGGTTTAAAATACATTCTTAGGGTGTTCAGTTTTAGTAAGTCACCGTTAAACTCCTCGAGAGTGTCTGAATGAGGCCAGAGGACTTGCAGGACTTGTCCTGCATGGCAGCATCTCTCTAGAAGGACACCACATCTCACCAGGCCTGGTACAAGAGCCAGCAAGAATGTTGGGTTCGCAGCCTCCTACTCTCATTTCTCTCCTTACAAGTTCAAAGAGTTATCAGATCTACTGAATTTCCTAGTTGATGATCATCAGAATATGATTCACACTTGTCTTTTAATAAATAATCTTATTTTAGAATCCTAATTTCTAAACATGGAAGCTGTTAGTTCCCTCTCCTTTCATGAAGGGCTTCAGTGCTTTGTTCCTACATGCGTGATGTCATACTTGGCAACACTGAAATGATTTTCTTTCACTTAAAGTTCTTCAGAAAAAAGAAAATATCACACAAGAGCAAAGAGTTGCAGAAATTCAATACTTATAAAAATCTTCTTTTTCTCCTTTTTATGATTTCTCTGTGATTAGCATCAGATATTACTGCTCTAGTGAGCTCTTAGTCCATATCTATCATTTTACTGCTTTGCACTGAGCTGGTTATGGGTTGCTAATTACCAAGGATGTTCTATTTAGAAAGATTCAGGGGGTTGAAGGGCTGGTTTTACTAAGTATGAGAATTTTTATGGCATGCTGCACAAGGGAAGCTTCTGGACTGCCAGAGAACAGGGCAACAAGGAGAAGGGAAGCAGAAGGTGAAAATTCAGGAAAGGAGGAGCCTGAAGCACAGCTAAACAGCAAGGAAGAAAAAAGCCATGTCCAAGGGCTGGAAAGAGACTTTCATGGACCTGCATAGGATTATGTAAAGTCGGCTGCAGCCCAGAAGGCCACCATGCTGCTGTCCAGAGAAAGATGAGAAGGTGGCAATTATTTCAGACTATATTCTCACTTTTCTCAACTAGAGACTACACCCAAAACTACTGAATATTTCTACTATTGGCAACCCCATCATTTTTACCACTGGTAGTTTCATTACCTCTAGCTCAGTCAATTAGAACATTGTTTCTATACATAACCAATAATTGCAGATTTTTCCATGTATACTCTTTCTTCAGCTTTTCTATAAATCCCAACACTTGTAAGATACCAAATTGCCTTTGCCACACCTTAGTCATCTTCACTTTCTTCCTAAGTAAGTCTAGACAAGAAAACAGGTTTTTTTTTCCTGGCTAAGAAGACATCAGACAGTATGTAAGAATCCCAGCACAGTGCTCATTATCTTTTTTTTTTCCTCCTGCTTCTACAAAACCACTACCTCTAAGATAGTCTAGCTGGAAAGCACCAGAAGAGCAGTTTCTGCAAGTGGCATCATTAAAACCTGTTTGTCAACACATTTTTTTTTTTAAACTAACCTCTACACCCATAACAGCTCATCTTTTTTGATTTCTAAGGAGAAATTGGAAAATTTTAAAGAATGAGAGCAAGAGACTGAGAACTGTAATAGTTTAAGTTCCACAAACTAGGCACACTAGACATTTTCTTGACACCTATTTAAAAGAATGCATGCAAACATATATGCAAAATATGCCTTTATCTTCCAGAAAGAGAACCAAAGGGAAAATCTGAAAAGGGGCAAGGGAGAAAAATACTTGGCATCTGTTTAAGCTTATACCTTCTCCTTCAGCCAGATGACTGAAACTGGCATGGTCATAAGGCCAGCATCCACTAGTCATTTCAAGACATCCAGTCCTCTTCCCTGAGTTCCTAGGGAGAAAAACAGTGTTTATGTTGCAGAGAAAGGCAGATATTTGACAGATATTTCACTCCAAAAAAGCAGGGCTTTTCAGTAATCTGGCCCTCACTCTAATCTAGTGTGAAATGCTGACATCTGTCACGTAGACTCTTCTGACACCAGTAGCTAGTGATGGACAACAGGCATGCTGATAGCTAATACCTTACAAAACTCATGAAAAAAACAACTATTTCTTAAAAGAGAAAAGTTAATCACCAAGTTTTCATCCATTCTAGCAAGAATAAACTGCACTTACAACAAGAGCTGAAAAATCCACTTGCCCTGAGCAAATTTTCACACTCTTTTGTTCTATCTTTAAATTTGTTGACACTGGAGCTTTAAGGAGAGGCCCTAACAGAGAAAACATGCGTCAAAACTGACCTAAGTCAGGATTTATGTGGTGATGAGACCACACTTGCTGGTTTTCTAGAATATTTGACAGTAATTCTCCTCCCCTCTGGGTTTGGCACTCACTGGTCCCTGTGGTAGGTCCAAAGAAATGGTCTCACACCGAGACATCTAGTAGTTTACATTGAAAAAATGTCTTCAGATTGGAGATGATCCAAAGATAACTCCAGTAATATTTTATTTCCTTTATTCACTCTTGGAACTTCTGCATTGGACTTTGGCAAGGTGACACCACAGTTAATTTTGAATTCTGCGATCAAAAACTGCACTATTGAAAATATATATTATAAAAAGTTCACAGGTTGTGACTATCCTGCCATACAGTCAAAGCTCATAGAAATAATACTTAGCACTAAGCACCACTCCAGTTAAACATACAAGTGCTTAAATCAAGGATTATTTAACACCTAACTCAAGTCTAATCATATTTGGGGAATTTGCACTGATTGAGGCAGAATGGTCTGGGTATTTTTTTTTTCATTTACTGGACACGTGCTTCATCTTATACTCTTATAAGGAACAATGTTATTTCTATAGAAATGACACCAAGGAACCCCAAATGGCTATGACAGCAGCTGACATCATGTATTTGACTGTAAAAATCAAAAGCAGTTTCAATGTAATTTCTAATTAAGAAATTACTAAATACAGCTAAGAAATGTAAGCTTGACACATGCCAGCCTTTGTCAAAAAGGAAGTTATCTCCATTAGCCTTTCCCTTTAATACAATCCTAACAGTTATTTAACAGTCAGCTTCTGCCTTAAGGACGGTAATAATATTCTTAAACATTGCCATCTTCTGGTAGTCCATAGCTAACACAAATCCTGTCAGTCTGCATCACATATTTAGCTTTTCCGGGCTGGCAATAAAAAAAATGCAAAAAACCCTACGAGACAGACTTGAGTATTCCTGGATGCCAGATATTACTGAACATTGCAGGAGATACTTGAAAACCACCTTACTTCTGTTTTATTGAGTTTTTCCTCTCTCTATGGTTACAGAAAAACTGGATGCCCATTAAGCTTGACTCCCCTTTGTCCCTGTTATCTAAATATTAATGAAGTCTGTGTCCTGAAAATTGCACCCAGACTTTCCACTGTGTGTTCTTTCCAAGAGGAATAACATCATGCTCTGGCCACCCTTCCAAAGGAGAAGTTTTGACAGACCTCATTCCACAAGTCTTAGGACAAAAATAAGGCAGGAAGGCTGATTTAATTTCTCATTCACCCCAATCCCACTCCTCAGGAAGAATCTGCTAGTCTTACAGGAAGATTATGATAGCTATAAAGAGATAAAATTAAACAGTGGATACTTGGATTTCCAAATCCTTCAGCATTAAGTAAGGACATTTCTTAAAAAGTCTATCTCCAAAGAAGAGTCCATGGAAACAAATATATTGAAAGATAAGAAAAATAATCACACTGAGAGGTCTCAATTATCAGTTATAGCCATATATCGCAATACACACATTTACAATTACAATCGAACATGCAATATCAGCTATACTAACTACCGTTATTTAATCTCTTCTAGAATAAGAAGTAAGCCACAGTTGCAATATTATGCAAGATAAATAAGTAAATATAAAATATTGAGTTGTCAGGTATGGGTACAATCGGTGGTGAAGGCTCATTTAGCTCACTAATGTTCTGTTTAAAACAGATTATGGATAGCAGTCATATGGTAACAATTGTGGTCTTCCATTTTCATAATCATTTCATCATTACAGCAAGGAAACAATCCTCAGTTTTCCAGTGCTTTTACCTCTTCATTGCAGAGCATTAAAACTTTAGCACTATCTTTCAACAGTCTTTTCCCACATTTTTGTGGGAGAATTTTATATCTACACATACACACACATATATACATATACATATACACACTGCCAGTCACATTTATGCATTTAAAGAAGTAGTCTTAAGAGGTCTGAGAAGTCTTCTTTGTCCTGATTTAGGAGAAAGTAGCAAGCCCAAGTCAGTATTTAGATTGGTGCTATAGTGAATTTAGACTTGATTTTTTAAATACTATTTTGAAGAATAAAGCTAATAAAAGTGTTTCTTACAGGTTTTCTGCTGTCAAAAGTTTTTTTCTATAAAATTCTTGAATTAAAAGATTTTTTATTTTTAATTGGCTACAAGAATTGCTTAAAGATCCTTTACAATTGGCTTTATGGAATAAAAAAAGGTCACCCAAATGAGAGTCTTTCCAGCAGAGAGATACAAGTACTCAGAAAACAGTTTGAGCGTGGTTAAAAAAAAAAAAAAAACAGCCTTCCATCTCCCACAAATCAGAAACAGATTACAGTTCTCTTTAAGAAACAATACTAACGACAGAGTTAGAGAGAATGACTAAACTCCCACTGATAAACTAGATTTCCAAGCCCTCATTCACTAATAAAATCAGGCTAATTAATTTCATTAAAAAAAAGATTCAGAGTGTGTGTGTCTATATATATATATTTTACAAATGTAGTAGAATATAAAATTTGCATGCAATTCTAAAGTAAACTAGGCAGAGAGGGATTGGCAGTATATTATAGCAAGTCAGAAAACAAACTGAACTTCAAAACTCAGATCTGTAATTTTATAACCCAATTTAAGGTCAAATAGTACTAGAGCTTTCTTATTGATGAATCACATGCTTTGAACACCAAGTCCTGCAAAAAGTAAAACCAGCATTCAAGGAAAACTATAAAAGCACAAGAGAGTACAATTAAAGAGCAGCTGATGCTTTTCTTATGTACTTACTGCTTATTAAATAAAATTAATTTTAATATTAATAAATTATTTAATTATTTCAATAGCTCTTTCTCTCTACCCTTCCTTACAGCACAAAAATATTCTTTTTAATTCCTTGAATAAATGTTCAGCATCTTGTACCTTAATTCTCTTACTGGGTTTTTCCACAGAAGAAAGTATTCAAGCACTTAGTTTTCCTGATTATAATAGTAAGTGGAGGTCCTTTTAAAGCCAATGGGATTGAAAGAAGGCTTAATAGTAGGTTCCAATTTACACAACCAACCTCAGTTCCGAGACAGGCATGAAAATTCCATCTTGCCCTAATGAGACATTCATGTTCCAGCTGTCAGAGATTTGAGCAAGTGTTAAATAAACTGAAATACATTATTTACTAATTTCCAGATGCTTTCTTTATGTTTTTACCTTTTGATTTAAGGTCTGCACCTGCTAGACTAATTTGTTGGAAGATCCTAGAAAGAAAGGTAAAGCATAAACTATAAAACATACTGCAAATATCCTTTTTGCTTGGAAATTTCCCCGTTTTCCAGAAAGGGAAGAGGGAAAAAGAAAACTAATGTAATGGCCCAGCAAAGTCCCCTTGCCAAGGCAGTGTAGGAGTTGAATTGGGATCAGGATCTCTCAATTACTTCCCCTCTTTTTATTCCCACAGAATTAGCTTAGGTGAATCTGCTTAGCAAGCTGGTGCTGGCAAAGTACAGCTGGCTCTCTGTGAATAAAGATCACACTGCCAAAGAGCACACCTTTATTTTAGATATCCAGCAGAGGCTTTGCTTTCAGTGGTGCTTCACTCCCACTTCCATGGCTGGATTCCCTTCACAGCATTCCAAAAAACCACCCTGAAGAGCAACATGAACAAGATGCAGATGGAAAACGCAACAGGATTTAGGATCCGAGTTTTGCACCCAAGGCACACTAGCGTTTTCACAGGAGACTGAGCTATTGCTGTGGTCTAAGAATTTATTTCTTATTGCCGTTATTGCATTTGGCAGTTAAAGCATCTGCTTATTAGCAATGGACATCCTACCTGGTTTTAATTTTGAAAGGCTAGTACCACCATGGGTGGGATCCAAGTTCAGTTTCACAGATGATCCAATTTAATACTTCTAGCTTTACCTCTACCCAAACTGCCACATCTCCTTTCAAATCAGGATGTGTTAACTATGTACAAAAGGTTTTTTCCGTTGTTTTTGTTCTCTCTCTCTCTCTCTCTCTCTCTCTCTCCGGGAAGAGGGCAGGGAATGGAGGGAATTAATTCCTTAACTACTTGTCTGTCCTGTCAAAACTACTTCAAATGTATCATCTAGGCCTGACCTTGTACCATAAAACCGTAAGAATCAGGAGATCTCTAGTCAAAATTCCCATTGCAAATGGAGTCAAACTATGAGCTCAGACCAGATTGCTCAGGATTTTAGCCAGTCAGGTCTTGGGAAACTCCAAGAATGCAATTCTGTTGCACAGCCTGTCTGGACAATCTACTTTACTGTCCTCAGGATGAACATATATGTATATATACATAATATTTTCAATTGGAGCTTCTCCTGTTTCAGCTGATGAATGTCGTCTCTTACTCACAACAACCTCAGCAAAGAGCCTGGCTCCATCTTCCCACTAACCTCCCTGCAGACCATAAAGGACTGCTCCAGCACCCACCTGAAGCTCTCTCTTCTGCCAGCCAAACAAGCTCTGGGTCCTCAGGCTCACCTCACAAGGCAAGTGCTCCAACCCAACCACCCCAGTAGCCGTATGCCAAACGTACTCCAGTGTACTGCTGTCTTTTCTGTGCACAAGGATCCAAAAATAACCA